ATTTCATGTGCATCCCGGGTTTTTCTACTATATTTGGTAGAGAGTACGTTAGTTTGTGACAAGATTGCAACAAAAGTCTTAATAGTGTACTTACCCTTACTAGAGGACCTCATTGTCATTAGGAGGTATGTTTAGGGGATGGTTGGCCTCACTTACTTGTATAGGTAGATTGAGATTATGAGTAGGTTACACGTGCATCGAATCATTGAATATTTGACACTTATCCATGTATGTATTTATAATTATTTAAAAACATATTATAATTATTTGATTTATTTTTTATTGGTCATATCTTTGATTATCTAACTAAATATTACTTATATATTTCATGTAGGCATGGATTAATGAGCAATTTCATCCTTGAGCCTAGTAATCAATTTAACATACTTAGATGATTTATCGCATGCTCGATGATGGAAGGCTCGTACTTATGTTGATACATTACCCACTTTACATTAGAGCTTGGATAGGTTGACAGTATTGGACGTGTACTAGGCCCTATACATTGATGACATGAGGCATATCCATTTCATGAGATTGCCTTTTTCATTAGATGTATCAATTGTGAGGTAATCGTAGAGCCATATCATCTGGAGAGGGTTCTATGCCAGTTTAGCTTTGTACATACTATTTCGTAGAGATCGTTGGCCTCGTCTAGAACTTGACGAAAACCATTGTTCAATTAGTACGATGTTATATATAGCCTCCTAGACCAATATTAAGAATAATGAGACATGCACGTTGTGTTGGTTGAGCATTGAAGCCAAAGATATCAGAGGCATGAAAAATGTTCATTAGACTATGATGCCTGGTTCACAGCTATATCACTTCTCATACTACTTGTTCATCATTGAGGTAAGAGGCTGGAGGAGAGGCTGATGGATAAGAATTGATGTATTTATTACTATGGGCTGATATTGATTTTATATTTACTTAATTATGTTTAGATACTGATTTAATATGTAGTAATGTTTATGTTTAGTTGATATTTATAGAATATTCATTAACTTATTATTTGTTCAATGTCAATTGGATAACATGTTGATAACTTTAAAAAATATCCCCTAAATTTAATAATTGTTCATTAGGTAATATGTTCATAACATAATATAAAGCATAAACAAATATAAACAATAAACATTACTATAAAATGTTTAGGATCATTACAAAAAAAAAAAGAAAAATCAATCAATGGCTATTGTTTCTCAAATGGCCATATTAGAATTTGAACTAAATAATAAATTGAAATCCTCAATGCAAGGTATATATAAAATCTCCTACCTTCAAGCAAAATTATATCGAATCTTATGCCAATTGCATCAGTAGGAGGTATTAGTGCGAATGGCTTTAGAAACACCTACATAATATAGGAATGTTATTTATATAATGTCATTAACACCTACATAAAATAAAAACAATAAATATAAATAGTAATTGGTAACACTAATTAACAATACCTGTATAAAATGATAATAATGAATAAATCCAATCGTAATTAACTTGTGCTCCAATAATGCAAGTGTTATAAAATTAATAGGGAGATATATTACACATTGTCTCAAACTAATGTGGATTAGCATGACATTATATCGGGAGGCAATCAAATGACTCATATTAGGTAAGGTCATTCACTTATTGTATGATGCAGAAGTTTCTAAACATGATAAAGTTTGTAACAACCCCTTAATATGCTTCATGGATTCATACAGAGTCATATAATTACCTCGATACCTATTAAGCTTTTCAATTAAATCTTATCACAGCTGTACCTAACCATCTAGTCCCAATCTAACCAACCTAATAATAACACGAAACCCATAACATCCATCTGCCTCAACATCAACAATGCTTGTATATATGGATATAACTCCATTGGTAAATTATCCAAATATTGCATTTTCTGTTTATCATAGGCCGACGAACAAGAATTTTAGTGATACGCTTTGTTGTTTTATTTGAGTTTACAAAGTTTAGTGGTGATGTACTATTCTAAGTTGATAACACAATCTCCCAGTGTGACAAGTCACTTCGTGTAAAGGTATATGCTTTTAACGCTCTGTGATTTTTTGGCTTAGCCATCTATAATGGTGGCATCAAGACAATTATGGATGGATCACCAAGTTCTCGTTGCTTTTTTTTCATGGCTAATTTACCCAAATCATCACATTTATTAAAACATTTGATGATTCGGTTAACCTCGAACTAGATAGTTAATTCATCAAATATTGAATTATTTTCGCTCTTTATTAAATCTAACTTCTTCTAATACGGATGCACTTTAGATAAAAAAATTAGACTTCCCATTCTTAGATGCTCTTTAACTTTATGAGTAGAAGATAATCCATCCATGCTTATTATCACACAACCGCAAGCATGTGCATCAATCTTAACATGATTAGCTCGTTTGATCTCTATCAATATCATATTCAGTGTGCTCTTAGATACCAAACCTTGCAACTCTTTAAATAATAAAGGCTTGAAATTATGCTCCATAATGGTAACACTTTGCTCAAATGAAGGCTTGATCATTGTATGTTGAAGCTCAATAAGTGCATTGACTATTTTTCATGATAATTCAAAATCCCCTTACAATAATCCAAGGTACCTCTTTAATTTCAAATGTACACTTTCAGGTCTAAAAGAAATAATAAAGATATATTAATGATTTGCTATGAAAGACTAAAAACCATAAATAATATTAGTAACATAAATCATAACTTTTTGTTGTAACATTGTCAAAGTGCATTATTTTATCCATCCAAGTCGCAACAAATATGTCCTGGATAAGCTTGGTAATCAATTTCTAATGAGCTCAGATGCTTTTCGTACTCATCATAGGTAGATGAATACATTAGTACATTTTAACCGGACATGAATGCCTCTCATTTTTCTTTTTGCTTAAAAAGTTTTTTATAATTCGCAAGCACATTTTTATTGATATGCAATCTACAAAAAAGATTGATCATGCCTAGAAATACTACCTCTATAGATTCATCAATGCCAACTCTCTATTAATAACAATAACAATAGAAAATTTGCTAGCAAGTATTAAATCTTTTAACTTATCTTATGCCCAAATATAATTCTCAGAACACTCAGTCTCTATGTACATAAATACAACAAAAAATGTCATCTCAATGGAAGTCACACCAACAATTCAAGTAGTGGCATATGGTAATTATTTGTTTTATAAGTGCAATCCATAATCAAGATTGATGGGAAGGCTTGCAATAATTATACACCAGTAGGATATGCCCAAAATAAGTCTTTCACACAATCGTTTGACTCATCAGACCTATGCCACTCTAGTTATTTACAATCGATCAACTTCTTCATCAATTGTTGCATTTGTAATCTGTCAGCTTTCTCAACATATTTGTGTTTTTCACATTCATTGTATATTATCTTTATAGTGCTGACATAATTCTCATCATGTTGTTTTATAATAAACAATATGTTTTTGGGTCTGACCATACTATTCAACATATCAGTAACTAAATTTTTTTTTTTTAAGTTAATCAACCCGGATATGAATGTCCCTCTAATTGTCATGCCGTTAGATGATTGTAAATTTCACAGACTACTTTCATGTCTCATTCATCATCCATTGTCAATTTAATCCCATGTAACTCAAATGGGCAATCACACTTTTTCGTTTTTGTTCTTTTACGTTTCATTTCTTCTACATTGCCCTTATTCTTAAATTATCTATATTTTTCACTTCGTCCACATGCCAATTTTATTTTAGGTTTCCTCGAGCCTTCTATCTTAGAGTGTTTAATCACTATCATGAAACCTTCATATTTTCTAACATGTTTAGCCCATAAAATCAAACCTTTTCTACTACAAAACACTTGCAAAACATTTTTAACTTATTTCGTATATACAAACTAACATTCTATGCTTCTATGCCTTCTAATAACACTAAATCTCAAAAATATAATCTTATCTCTTTCTAGTAAATGAATCGGTGCAATCATATTTAATATCTAAATTGTGTGGTGATTGATCCCACTCTATTAGTGCATTTTCCAAATTAATCGACATATCACAATATGTTAAAACTTTTATTAAAAGACATATAAAGATTGTAAAAAATTATATTATATTCTCGAAAATATGTTTACGAGAATATAATAATACTCGAAAATGGATTTTTGAGAATCTCATCGTGTTTTCGAAAATTCATTTCCAAGAATTACACTATATTCTTGAAAATCTATTTCCTAGAATTATGTTATATTTTCGGAAATTGATTTTCAAAAGTTACACTGCATTTTCAGAAATATATTTTCGAGAATTACATTGTATTCTTGAAAATCTATTTTAAAAAATACAACATAATTATCATAAATATATTTTCGAGAATATAATGTAATTCTCGAAAATGAATTTCCAAATTTTTTAGAATTACTAAAATTCAAACTCGACTCTTTACCTCGTTGAGCTCTTCTCCCTCATTGTTGTTTCTCATTTTTAAATCCATTCTTGCATTATTTGTAAGATTTAATTAAGGTTTCCAAAATTGAATTTTAGATAAAAAGATTTAAGGTTTAGTGTATGAGAAAGAAGGATGAAAGAAAAAGAAGGAAAAAGAAGGAAGAAATGAGAAAAAAAACAGAAGATATGGATGTATAAGACATTGAATGTATTTTTATCATTTCCTAAAACGTAAATTTAGTATTTGATATTAGAGTATTATGGAAAAAAATTTTATGAGATACATAAAGAAGTTTTTATGCTGTATTTTAGAACACCCCTTTGAGAAATGGCAGGATGATTTAAGGCATTAGGAACCTTACTATTGAAAAGTTCATAAATCCTTTAACCAACAATTTACAGCTGATACAGAAAGAGTAGCCATAATCCACGCTTCCTAAACCCTTCTAGTTCCCAAACCAAAAGATAAGAGAGATAAAGCCACAGCCACGTCCAGAGTGATAAGTAAAAAACGACAACCGTTTGCTATGCCTTAAACGAAAGCGTTCTTCACATTGCAATTTCTAATTATTTTCACGCATAATAATTATTAAATCTTCATGACACTTACTGCTAGCATCATGCAAAAATGACAAACAAATTAAAATGAAAAGTGAAAAGTAAAAAGTAAAAAAAAGTACAAAGCAAAGTTGCTCCGCACCAAGTTGTTCTAGATTTTTGCGGAGGGAAATTGACAAGCATGTAAAAACATATAATAGGATAGAAAGGGGCAAAAAAGGTTGGAAAAAAAAATAAAATAAAGAAACGACAATGGAAAAGCCACTGATATTAAAACCCTAAACCCAACCTCCTAAAGAGAAACCTGACAACAGAAGCTACCAACTACAGAACCTGCCTTCTTGATTCTGACAAACCCTAACGCCATAAATTATTCACTTCATATTATCAGCCAAGACAGTACGGATGACCCACTTCGACGGTCCATGGTTCTGTAATCTGTTCTATAACAGCAAAATTTCAGTGAAAACTCATCATCGTATTCTACAAGACCACAAACCGCCGCAAGGGGATGCTGGCACAAGTTAGCAACCGTTTGCAATCCCATTTGATAAAATCCTCTTCTCTGACACAATAACTGGCTTTGCACCCTTCGTGGCATCTCCAGATTTTGTAACCGAACCATTCTCTGAAAGCTTTAGATCCCCATTGGAATGAGCAGTTGAACTAGGTTCCTTGATCAAATCCGATACAACTTCCATACACTTTTGTGAACCATTTACTACATCTTTCTTCTCATCTACAGGCTTTCCTTCCCCTACCTGCATATGAGAGAACAAAAGCATGCAAAACAGTTCAACTTCATGGGCCACAAGCACAAAATTTTCTCCAAGTAAACTTCGATCAAAGCAAAATTCAGTTGCAATATCAGGGGTAAAGCCAAGTATGTCTTGCCTGCTTTTGTAACTGCTGTTTAGCCTTTTTCTCCTGAATTGCCTTCTGGCGAACCTCATAAAATTCAAAATCATCCAAAATGCAACTTTTGCTGGAATGCTCCTTGAAGATTTTGATCAACTTAAGTCCTTGCTCAAATTTGATCTGCACAAACCAAAAGGAGATTACCCTTAGAATGGGGGAAAAAACAAGAATAAAAGAGTGAAATGGGCTTTAGGAACAAAGAGTACCTCTTGTGTATCCCTGCTGTTCGTGACAGGTTTATTCTCATTGTTCTCTAGTGTAATGTGCTTCAAAGAATTGTTAGGTACATCCTTAATAATGTGCCACTTTACTGTGAAACAGCCAGTCCACTTGTCCTGTTGCCAGTACTCCACATTCTTCTGAAAATCAACATGCCCTACCATCTCAGCAAGGCCAACAAATTGCCCACTTGTATTGACCTATAAAAAGTTCAAAAACTCAAAGAGCATTAAGCACAGCAAAAACAAGGTACAAATAACCCAAATAAACAACTTGCACCAAGACACGAACCGAGAAGAAAAGATATACAGGGCAGCCACCAGACTTCTGCTGAGCCTCATAGTAAGCTGTATCAAGCTTTTTGTTACCACTTGGTGTGCTAGCCCAAACATTGTATTTAATGCTTTTATGGACATCATCTTCACTGTATGATTTAATAACAAAGAACTTGGCATCAGCATAATCCACAGGGAATTCTTCTCGGTTATACTGTTTGCGGTCTGGAACAACATGTGCCTTTTCCTTCTCCTCAGCATTAGCTCCATCTGTGGGAATAGTTTGCCCCTTGATAGCTGTTGTGATAAGTGTTGTACCCTTCTGGTTCTTAGGCCACTTAGCCCTAGGTCCCCTGTTCAGTTCATTAAGACCATCCATGTTATCATTGCCAGAACCAAAGTAACCATTGCCTCGTCCCCTTGGTTTATACTTGCTGTCAGTAGCCAACCAGCCCCTTCCATTTGTTTGCAAGTCATAATAAGCATTAGATCCAAAGCCCATTCCAGATCTGAATGAGTTTCCGTCCTGGCCATATAGTTTGTTTGGGTTCATCCTATTAATAAACCCATGAGCTGTACCAATGCCAGACATTGGCCCAGGATGGCAGAGTCCCTACAAACTCAAAGGGTACAATCATTAGGAGGAAAAACTCAGAGGAAGATCAATGACGTCAAATGCAAAACAAGAAAATTAATTAGAAAAGCAAAATCATGCATACCATGTAATGGGAGTTTGAGCGGAAATTTTGATTCCTTGAAGATGGAAAGTTATTTGTTTTTGAAAATGAAGAGTTTATGCCAGTGCTAGTCACAGGCCTGTGTTGCCCATCTGAGAACATAGAACCATCAAGCCATGGGATAGGAGACCGAAACCCATCAAATCCATATCTTGGATCCTGATATCCGGAGGAAGGAATACCTCCTAGTGGAGCTCCCCTTCCATAAGAATTATTAGAATTAAATGAGCTCTGGTATGGTGGCTTTATTGCAGCTGAACCATTATTTCCCTTCACAGTGACCCCATTAGCAACTCCATTGGAATTAGGATTAGTTGTTTCAACAGGCAATGGCTTTTGATCGGCAACAGCAGAGGTCGAAAGCTCCAATTGGGATGGGGCAGAAGGGTTTGGAGTGAACGGGCCACTGGTTGGAGTCAGCGGCTGGAAGTAGGGAGGATACTGGTAGTGCTGTGGCCCATACAGCTGACCATCATTTCCCACAGTTGGAACCGGGGTACCTGCTGGTGAATATGGTCCATACGGTGCATAGCCATAACCATGATGATACATAAGAGATCCATTGTCCCCATAAACTCCCTGAACAAGATATAAATTATTAAAAATAAACGAAAGATATCACAACTAATAACTACCAGTATAATGAGAACATCAAAAAAGAAAGACTCACTGAAGTCATATCAACTCCCTCTGGGTTCACATATCGTGAATATTCATCCCACTCATTACCAGTGCCATCAAAGCCTGCAAGGAACAATGAACAGATGAATACAATTCTTGCCCCAATTAATTCAGAATAACACATACATATAAAGCGCCAATGTATTTCAGCTTAAAAGAGCTGGAACAGTTTGTTTACCACCATAGTAAAAGGCTGATGGATAACCACTAGGAAGATAGCACACAGTTGGATCCATAAAATCTGGTAGCAAAGGTGTTGCAGATCGCTCAAAAGATGGAATTTGGGTATTTCCTGTGTTGCCTGAATCAACAGATCCATATTGATAAACAGAAGGCTGCACAGAAAATAAATCAGGCATTTAGTTACCATCCAAATTCTTGCCAGTTAGAAGAAAGACCAAATACCGATCTGCATTCTTTTCTATTTAATTTTTCTCCCATGACCTGGGCAATCTTCAAAACATCAAACTAACTGGCCCATGTGACGTTCAGTTTTATCCATAACAGAAACAAAAGTAGGAAACGGAACTACCTTCTTGGTAGGCTCAGGAATATCCAAGGGCTTTACTTGCGAGTCTAAAGACAATTTCTGCAACAGCTCTGATGTTTCTATAAGAAAGCAAAGAGTAAAGGAAATACAAAGAGCATCCCAAATACCCTTTACAATTCAAAAGTGCTACAAAGAACAAGCTAACAGAGAAAGCACTTCGTTACAACAAATTTAATCAATAACAATAATAATGGAAATAAATTACCAGAAAAAAAAGACAAAGAATTATTCCTTTTAAATAATTGAAAGAAGTTCAAAAACAATATAAAGGGGAGCGAAGCCATATGGAATTCAGAATATGAATCCTTAAACAGCGAATTCAATGAATGAATAGGATATGACATGCATAACAGGTGGATCGAAAAGTGCGAAGAAGTACAGATCTACATGAAAGCATAATAATACCCAAAAGTGACATAATCGAATAATTGAGGATACGGTCTGCAGGGGTAGCAACTGTGGCCGCCATCACCAGATCCACTCTCTAAACTCTAAATAACAACCCAAAAACTCAGTTGTGTGTTTTAGGGGGATAGAAGAGAGAGAGGCAACAAAGGGTGCCAATTACACTTTCAGCCTAGCTTCAGCCGCCAGGAGACACACAAAGAGAGAAGCAAAAAGAGTTTTGGGTTTTAGGGTAAGAGAGAGAAAGAGGGTTTTGTCCATCCAAATGCGGTGATTCAAATACCACCACGGGGCTCTCTAATTTTCCTCTTTCTCTTTCATTCTCACCCGTCAGTCACCTAATCCCCCTTCCAGTTGTCTTTCCACGTGGCACTATCCTATTTGTTGCTTTGCATCACTCTTTGGTTCTGTTTCTCACTCCTCTTCTTTCTTTATTGGTGACTGACATCTCTTACGGTGACAGTCAGGGACATTCCGTAGCATTCCTAGTTCCTATCAAACAACGAGTAATGTGCGGGAAAAAATGCTTGGAAACCCTAATTACAACAAATACTGTTTTTTTTTTTTTTTTTGGAACAAAGATATTTGGAAAAATGTCCGAGATTGATACATGTACTATCAAATAGATTAGTCTTGATCCATTGAATAAGAAAATTTATGAAGAAATATAAAGTGAAAATTTGAATCTCTCTTTCCTCGTCCTCCGACCCTTATCTAATGAATGAAAAAATAGGCTTAAGGTAAAAATTTATTTGTATCATGTTTGTTTTTTCAATTAATTTTTATCAATAATTTTGCTCAATTTAAAGTCATTAAATTATATATCATTATCATATATATTATTATATTATAACATACATAAACACTAGTAAAGTTTTTTATACAAATGCTTATATGGATAACTTGTTTTGTAAGCTTTTTTTTTTTTAAGTATAATTTCTTTTAATTATAATTGGATAATCTTGAATTTATTTAAATATTAAAATTATTTAAATTATAATTATAAATCAAATTAATCTAAAGATATATTTTTAAAAAAATTAAAAATTAAAAATATGAATTTTATTTGAATAATTTTAATTTTTACCATATAATCTTATTTTATTCAAAATTTTAATAATTTTTATATTTAAATAAATTCAAGATTATTCAATTGTAATTAAAAAAGTTATACTTTTTTAAAAAATTTGTCCTCCAAGTCATTTAAATAAATTGTTTAGGTAAGCGTCCATATAACAAACCTTATCGAGTGTTTATGTATGTTATAATATAATAATATATATGATTATGAAAATCTTTCAATATTTTTTTATAAAGATTAAATTTATCTAAATTTTTTAAAATCTTGCTATATTTTTTATCTTAATTTGTATCAAACAAAAATTATCGTTTAAAAAATTTATATTAAAAATTCAAATAATCTTTTCATATTAAATTTCTAAATAATAGGACATATATCCATTTCAACTCTAACTATTAATTTTATAATTAAAAGATAGGTAAAAAATTTGATTTAATTTTTATCATTTATTATATTCTTTTAATTTTTCTAAATAATTTAAAAATTATCTATTCAATCTTAAATGCCATCAAAGAGTTATTCTACAATTTAAAGAATATACATGTAATGTGTTATATCATTTTTAATTTTTTGATTTGCAATTTTTTGGAATTATATTACTATTGTAATTTGTTTTTTTTATTTGCATATTTCTTTTTTTAAGGTATATTCTATTACTATTACAAGTTCGTTCTTATGAAAATTAATATTTTTTCAATATTTTTTTCTTTTTTTCATACATCTCTTAACATCTTTTCATATTTTGTACAACAATTTGAATAATATTACAAAAGTAAAAGTATGTTTATACTTTTTTATTATTTAATTCATCATTCAATAATATATATATATATATTGTTCTTTTAAGAAAGACATGTGATTAGGGATGGCATCGGGGCGGGCGGGTCAGCTTTTTACTTTCTTCGCCTCCGACCTGATGCTTTAATGCTTTTATTCGATACCTGACCCATCTCCACTTGGAGGTTGTAGCTGAAAAACCCGACCCCAAACCGCTTGAAGATTATTTACCCGAATTTTACCTTACCCGATCCTAATTTAATCTACTACCTATTCAAATTTACTGCAAATGTAATAAATTATAATCTAAATATATTACAAACATGAACAAATTTAACATAATCACTCACAAATTCAAACTTAGTACATACGTCTTTTTTTATTTAATAAAAATCTCATAAATTCTTACCATAAATAATAGAATTATAAAATACATAAAACATAGTAAATCAAAACTCACAAATTCTCACAAGAAATGATGGAATTATGAAATATATAAAACTTAGTAAACTAAAATTCAAATATCAAACAAGCATAAGTTAATAACTAAAATTTAAATATAGTACATAATACAAGATAAACATTAAAAGCTTAAATTACCACAATAAAAAGTTAAATTGTTTGAACATTTTTTCATCCAATATGGTGAAAATCTTCCAAGATCACAACAAATCATTTCATCATCACTAAGCTTCATATCATCATTCTCTTCTAACCACATTAGTCCTATAAAATAAAACAATAAGATGAATAAATAAATATCATAAAATAATATATTTAAAAATAATAATATAAATAATGAATTAATTAAAAAAGATAATATTATTTACAAAACTAGTTATCTTTTCTTCAATCTCACTATCATCAACATCCTCGTAAAAAGAATTTTCTTCTAATGAAATTGACCCTACAAATGAAATAATAAAATATTAACAAATAATATATAACAACAAAATATAATAACTAACAATATGCTAAAATAAAAAATAAAATTACATAATATGCATTATTGTACCTTCTTCTTTAGCCCATAACCAATTTTGACAACATGTTAAAGCTTCTATAGTTGATGGATGAAGTCTATTACGTTGTGCACTCACCAACCTCCCTCCAGTACTAAAAGTAGACTCTAAAGCAACAGTAGAAACTAGTATGGCATATATATCTCTAACAATAAGTTGTAAGGTCGAAAATTGAGGTCCAGTTAGTTTTCACTAATTCAATATATCAAAATCTCTTTTTCTTGGTATGACTTCTTCATCCAAGTAACGATCTAACTCTGATTTTACTTTTGATTTTTTCTTTTTTTTTCCTTGAAACAAAATCATCATAGTCTCTCAAATTTCTCAATTCAGTAACACCAACACCATCTAAGAATGAAAAGCTTGAACTAGAAGGTCCTTCTTCCTTTTTCAAAGCCAATTTCTCCTCATATTTCTTAAGCAAATCCCGACATATTTGCACAATCCTTTCAATTTCAAATTCAGCATTTTCTTCATAAATCTTTTCAAAGTAATACTCCAACAACTTTGTTTTGTACCTTGGATCTAAAATTGTAGCAACACCCGATTATACCATGCACATTATTTCAATATTTTTCAAATTTGCCAATGCTCATAGCCATACATGAAATAATTCTATCGGTATGCATAATCCATTCATTCAATGCCAATCTGATTTTGTAAATATTAGGAAAATAAAGATTTACAGTAGCATATTTTATGCCAGAAAATCCTTTAGTGATATCATAAAATAATTTTAACTTCTCACAAATCTCGGTTGCAATGATCCAATCATTTTCAGTTGGTAAATATTTGTACAAAGGATCACCATGTAATTGCACACAACGAGAAAAAATATCTTTATAAAACAAAACTGTTCGAAGCATCAAATAAGTAGAGTTTCATCGTGTTTTGACATCAATACATAACTTTTTTAAAGTTGGAATACGTAATTGACGCACTGCCTCTTCAAATTTTTCTCACCTCTTTGGTGTAGCACCCCAAAAAAAGGACACTATCATGAATTCTTTCAATTCCATCTCCAATCACACTCAATCCATCTTTCACAATCAAATGCAAGATGTGTGCACAACAACACATATGAAAAAAAGCCCTATTAAGCAAAAATGCATCACAACCAATTCTATCAATTAACAATTCAATAACACCATCATTTACACTACAATTATCCACTGTAATAGATGAAAGTTTTCTATCAATATTTCAATCTAGGAAACATTTCATCAAACTTGAAGTAATGACCTTTTTTGTATGTGGAGTTGGCACATATTCAAACCTAATTAAACAATCAATTATTTACACTAATTTAATAATTAATTCAATAATAATAATTACTTAATAAAAAATAAATATTATCAAAATAAGATAATTTAATAAAATATACCTGATGATGCGTTTTTGTAAGTTTCATTGATTATCGATGTAATGAGCAGTGACAGCCATGTATCCTTTTTGTTGGTGATCAACAGTCCACGTATCAGTTGTGATAGCAATTCTTCCTTCATTAGCTTCTAACTTGGATATTATTTTTGCCTTTTTCTCTTTGAAAATCTTCAAAATATCACTCTTTATAGTATTTCAAGAAGGCATAGCAAACAAAGGTTGGAGACTGTAAGAATACTTTCTGAATTGCACATGATCGACCATTGATAAAGGATATTCGTGCATGATTATCATGTTGGCAAGCTCCTTCTTTGTGACATTTTGATCAAAGGAAAAGTTTTTAGTGTTACTTTTCCATCTGCCTTCCTTTGATTTGCTAGCAGTACTTGTTGACGAATATCCATATGAAATCTCTTGCTGCATATCTCTGAATGCTCACGTAAATGACTTGTCCCATTCTTTGAAGCACCACCAAGTTTTTTCTTACAATAATTGCATATTGCCTTCCATTCATTATTGATCTTCTCTTTTTAAAAATGCTTTCATACTTTTAATTTTAGCTTACTTGAGTTATACCCACTATCATCAACTTCAGCACCTTGGTTCTTCATACTTAATGATTGAGTTGTATTTTCATCAGATGTTGGAATTGAAGTTTGTTGAATTGGTGATTGATGTGAGGTAGAAGTAGAAGGTGTTGGGGAACACGAATTATCTCCCAAATTAGACATTTTACCTTCATTCATAAAAAAAAATAGAGTTATTATTTTTATATTAACAAATAAAGCAACTGAATAAATTAACTATATAAAACCAAAATAAAAAGGTTTATTAACAAATAATTCTACCGAAACAATTGAAAAACAAACTTAGAATCTAAGTATAAAAAAAATTAGACAAGTTCATTCCTTAAAAAAAAAAAAGTAAGAGATTATTCTACTATGTACAACTTAGCATGCACCTTTAGCCAAATAAGAAGGCTAATTAACATATAAAACAAGTTAAAATA